TGTTCATCCATGCAGGTCTCCTGGTGTTCTTATCTGACTTCCTCTTTGTTAGGCTCATTGCTCCTGAGCTTGGCAGAGGTGGTCCTTGAATGTTAGCCAACTTTCTTAGGGCCCTCTTCCCTCCAGGTCTTTATCCCATGGTCCTCTCCCAAGCAGATCCCTGAAGAGGCCAAAGTCTGCTCTCCTGAAGTCCAGGGCAGTGAGCTTGCTGTGCACCCTCCTTGCTGCTCTAAGGATCTTGAACTCCATCATTTCATGGTCACTGCAGCCAAGGCTGCCCTTGAGCTTCACACTCCCCACCAGCCAGATGTCTAAATTTACATGCCAACATTTTGAATTATAGAGCAACTATAGGTAGTTAGAGGCTGAATTTTGAAGGGTTGATCATTCAGAAATTCACCTAAGTTTAATTACTGATTTACAACATAAAGAAGTCTAGCTATGAAGCTGTACATATACAAGACTGCTACCTCCACTGCATCAGTGTGGCTGTAACGAATTAAACATCATTATATTGGCAAAGTGGAAAGGTTTCGATTCAGTTAACGATTATCAGCATAAAGCCAGCATAGCACAGTTAATAGGTCAAGATCTCATCAGAGGTGATTTCCAGTGAAACTGGAGTAATGCCATGATAGATCTCAGTATCAATGGCAGGAAGCTGGAGAAACTTGATGCTTATGGGTTCTCATACATTTAATTCATTTCAAAAATTTATCATTTTTTTGTGATGAGCTGTGCTTCTACACTTCAATTTCTGCCTTCTTTATCTGTGAGGTAGGAGGATATCGGTTTGCAAGATGACCCTATTGTTATTTAAACAAAGCTTTTAGCATTTACTCATTATAATTCAGTTTTGTACCAAGTAGATTAGATATAAGAATTTGTATAGTAATATCTGTGATTAACAAGACAAAATGCCTCTTTTTTAGTTCCCATGGCATTATCTCCACAGAGAACTGGAAATCTTTTCTTTAAAAAATGTTAAGTAAATCTGTGAATTCTATTGTACTTTTATCCATTTTAATAGCGTAAATGTTCAAATTCACGGGAAGTGCTTTTTGCTTTTAATGACACAGTATCTAAAAGGTTTATGCTAAATCCTTAATCATATTCCTCCTGTTTAGCTTTTGCTCTTGGGTATAAAACCAGAAATGGTCACAGAACTGCAAGCTTGGAGAAAGATCAAAGAGACAGCTAGAAAAAATAAAACAAGTACACATAACTGCAATGAAGATTGTTGATAAACACATCACAGTGTGTGTAGTAATCACACAGTACAGTTATGACCACTGTTTGAGTTGAAACTTGGTATTTGACTGAACAGAGACACAAAGCTTGTAAATACATTACAATTTACAGTTTCTATTACCATAGAATCTGGACCTAATTGAGACTGGAATTCAAATCTTCACAGGTACTATTCAGTTAATATTCTAGATAATATTTGACAAATATACCTGCCCAATAAAACATATAATCTAAAAAGGATAGAAGGCAATCTGGAAGAAAGGTGGTATTTTTTCCATTTTACAGGTTTGGAAACTAAAACACAAAATGGTTTCAGGGTTAACCCAGAATATAATGATTTCTATGGGCTTTGGCTAGACTCTTGGATTATATGAACATTGTTTCCAAATGTCTCCTCAGAATCTGCCAGACACAGTACAGTGCAAGGGGTTTTGGCAAGATGGTGCAATAATGCAGGCTGCTCTGTGGAACATGTGACACAACCAGCAGAGCCATCGCTGGTCATCACCACAAAAGTCTGCAAGGACATAGTGGAGGCCTCTCTAAATCTGGGTGTTTCTGGAGGCTTCCTTTAGTTTACCAACAGTTTGTCTCTATGACTCCTCAAGAGCAATCAAAATTTAAGACTAAAATCATGAGGGAATTTGGCTTTAAGGACACTATTACAGGCATTTCTTTATCCACACATGGTATAACTCAATGTGATATAAGCATTTGAATTTAGACCTAAGCTTCTCACAATTCAGAAGTAACCTGTTCCTCTAGTCCTTAAGAAATTAAATGGCTCAGTTCATCCAAACACATGCAAGTTCGGATGCTTCTCTAGGTCTCTGGAGTCTCCAGAAGTAGGGCAAGAAATCTCATTAAAATGTGCGTGACTTCAAGGAAAGTTCCATGTGGGGTGTGGCTGCAGAATCAGACCTGACAATGTGTTCCTTTTGCTCAAACTTCATTTTCCAGAAACCCCTCAGCTGGCCTGATTCTGTGCACACAATCCTGGGTACCTGTGTCTGAGCTATACAGACATTCCTTCAACACTCCAAAGTGGGGTGTATTACACTTCATGGAACACTGAGAGAAATTTTCAGTGGAACACTGAGAGAAATTTTCATTCCAATGATTTAAGAAGACTACAATTAATGAACTAAATCCATGAAACTGCCAAATGAAACTAAAGAATTCAAGGTTTTCTGTACATTCCATTTTACAACTTTGTCAGTTACCTCACAATTTTTGCAAACACAATGGATTCACGATTGCTAGATTTAGTTTTGTACTATATTGTTTGATTTTAATCACTATTTTGAAAATAAAAATTAGTTCTGATATATAATTCATATTCTCATTTAGTCCACGCTGTATTTCATAATGTATTCTTTAAAATTTTACATTGAAATGGTTCTTTATTAATATCGCATTTTCCATTGTGTTTACACATGCAAAATCACAGCATTGTTGTTGCAAGATTTCTGGTAAGTGTGGAACAAGGCACTTGCAAAAGCTGTGTTCACTGCTTTCAATTTTCAGCAGGGCACATTACACCCAACATTTTAAAGCTACAAAAGAAATATACTCTTACAATCTCAGATGAATATAATGTCTTTGCTTGAGATTTTAACAAGTAATATCTAGCCACAGGTCACTTGAAAAAATCAAAGTTCAACCCATTTACAATATGCCTTACAAGACAGTCCTTTAGTGCTGCAGGTTCTGCAGACTTTATGTGGCCAGTTAAAAATTACACAATAGGTCAAAACTAATAAAGTGTAATATTTTTACTATTTCAATATTCTATATGTTTGTTTCTTTATTGAATCTGATGTCCTTGAATTTAAACAACAAATTTTGTAATCATGCAGCGTTTGACAGCTGCAGTTGCTCTGCTGCTTAGTTCTTTTAAAAAACATCTATTATCATCTTTCATTAGTATTTTTTGACGTTTCCAACACTGCAAATTACCTGCCTTTATAAAGTAATGTGCAGATATGAGCAAATATTTAGGACTCAGATCAGGATGCAACAATATGATATTTAAAATTATTATTTTGATATTCTATCATTGACGATATTCCTCATATTAACAAGACACGTTCATCCTCAAAAAGATACCTCCAGTAGAGCATGTACCATATCCATGTAAGAACATAATGACATAATTGCAGTATGAAAAACATGCTAACACTGCTTAAAGCTTACCAGCTTCTTTTCAGAATTTTTACTGCCTCATTTAGGAAAATATTAAAGAATTGAACAATGCAAAGGTTTTTTTTAAACTGGAACTTAACAGCTCATGATCTAGTATTTGCCACTAATGTGAACAAACAGTACTATATGATGCATAGCTTAGTGAAAAAACTCAGGTGAACTTCCATAAGCTGTAAGTCAGACATTCAATCACAATACGTAAAAATCGTTTCGTCAATTCTGAGGCCAACAGTTCTTCCTTAAAATGGCACACCAACCTGCCTCACTCTTTTCAGATTAGGCCCTTCTTCTGTCTGAGCCCTGAAGCTTGTATTATGCATAAATATGTATAAATCACATCTATTTTCATATTACACAAATACTTGTTCTATTTCCTCTGAAAGTCTACTCCACATGTTCAGTACTTTTATATTGACTTTAAATATAGATTTGTTCAACTGCAGCCTTTTTAGTCATCTGCTTACCTTGCCCAATTTATTCTAGTGTATTTACTAATTTATTTTACACGTAGACACTCTTAGCAACATACACTCAACTCTTTGCTGCTGTCCTCTGGCAGGGTAAGCTCCAGCCTCCTGTCAGTGAAGCCTGCCAAGCTCTGTATAGCTCCCACTCCCCGTGCAGTCATATAGAGAGGGTTTACGCTTTTCCATCTTCTGTGGCTCCTATGCAGCAGGAAGTACTGGGTGCAAGAGTCTCACTGCCTGCCCTGTGATGAAAGTCCACATTCTGCATATACAATCTAGTTTTTTTCTAAAAAGTACGGTCACAGATTTGAGGACTGAAGCTAAAAGTAAGCCCATGAGAAGTTTTAGATGTTAGGAGCTTTGGATAAAGTTGAGATGACTCTGATCTGCCTGACAATTTGTTTTATATCATCTTTCTGCAGTAAGCACTTTTTTTTGGTGGGTTGAAGTACCTCCTTTCCTGCTAGTACTCCAGTTAAGACCTCCTGACGTAAACCTAGTCTGCTCTCAGTTTGTTCTTGTTAATCAGGAATTCTTGGAACAATACAAACACATTTGTATTTTTAGCACACAGTATGTCTTTTCCATCTGCAAGACACTTATTTAAGCTACTTCCCTTTCCTACTGGCTAAACTATTATTCTCAGTTGATTAGATGGATTTGTTATCGTATTCTTATTAGAATGTGAAAAGATACCGAAACTTCTGACTTCATAAAACAGGCCAAAGAAACAGGATATCAGAAATAAAACTTGAATTAGTATCTTTTACACTTTTTAGCATTTGTTATCACTGGAACAAAACATATGACTGAACAACTGAGCAGTTTAAGAAACTATTCCTCATAAATGAAGGCCCTCCATTCCCAGTGTACACTACAGATACTGAGCACAGTACAGTGCTAGAACGGGCTGTAATTTTGGATTCTGTCATGGCCACCTCCCTCCAAGAAGAGTAGGAGACATCACGTCAGGAGAAAGGAGGAAAAAAAAAAGGGAAGAGCCAGGCAGCAGAGGTGCAGTGTACCCTGGAGGGTAAGCTGGTCATAACAACTCAGCTAATCAACAGTCTAACCTACCTCCTGCTAAGCCGACAGTGCGTTTCAGTTGATAATGCAACTTCTCAACACCACTGTGTTTCAGTACAAGTTGTACTTGGCAGCCTGCCACGGTGCTGAGTGATCCTTCTCCTGCGGGATTCCAGAGCTTCCACAAACACAACAGGTCACTTTCCACTAATGCGACATAAAAGAAAGAGATTGAAAATGTCAGTGTTGACATTGGCTGCCTGCTGAAATCAGTATGCAGAACCAAGCTCTGCTTACAATGCCCACGTTAAAGGGAAATCACGTAACTCCCTCTTTCCCCACTCGACTTCACCTCTCCCACATACAGACACGCTACCAACGCTGAACAGCTGGCTGGAGTCTGAAAAGAACGGCTGCAAAGTAATGAGTCTGAATCATTTTTAATGAGCACACATCTAGCTTCAGGATGGCAATGGTTGAATACCAAATGCTATATTGCCCAGCTGCCAGGGATAACCTAGCTCTGCCTGCGGCACTGGAAAGAACACAAGTATCTAGCAACACACACTCCAGGTGTTTCTCTTGGCCTGCTTGTCAGTGATAACACCTTTTGTAACATTTTGTACACTTGAAGGATTTCTTTCTTCTGTAAAATATTCAATAAATGTAAAGTAGTATTTTGGCTGTAAATTAGTACTGCATGGATTGTCTCGTAAATTCTTGTACAGTAGGAAGTGCCCTAATCTTAACCATTTGGCTTAGTAATGCACTTAAGGCTGCTTAAACAAACGTTGGAGAAAAGATTTTTTTCTTTTAAGATCAGATTAATTTCAATGTTGCTTTCAGAGAACACAAGCAAGACCAATACTTGAAGTCTGAATATTAAGTATGAATTAATAGAATGGCATAAAAAATAAATTGATGACCTGCAAAAACTACCTCGTTTTTAATGTTAGAAAATGTGATCACAAAGCTTGAAAATGGAAGATGAAAATTGTTAAAATGCTTTGGAAAGTAATCCATCACTGTTACTATTGATATGTCACATACTACACTTCAGAAGAGGATATGTCAAAATACATGGGGACTGTTGATTTAGCTCTGGCAGGCTTACAGCTAGCTAGATTCCTCTCCCAAAGATGTGCTGTGTTCACACCAAGGAGAGTAAATTCTTTAAAAAAAATCAGGAGAACTAGATCAATTCACACAATTACAGGTATAACCCACAGTATCCAGGAAAGAATAAACATTTAAATCAGGATGGGTTTGCTACCTAAACAGGCTCTTGAAACAGCAAAAGCCTCAGTAGGCCATTCAGTAAAGAATATCACTAAATTAATGCCAATAATATTTTAATCATGCACCATCTTCTATATCCCATTATTTTTATATTAATGAGTAAATGAACTGTGAAAAGACGTTGGAAAACACAGGAGAGAGAACATGCACCGATTAGCCAGCCGGCTTTTTGGATCTTTTAAAAATTTCATTTATGTCATGCTTCTGTAGCCTCATATGGCACCAGCATAAGCTGGCTTGCCACTTACTGCTTATACTGTTTATTTGTACCCATTTGTGTTAGTTCTGGAGTTGGCTGTTTACCAATTTCCCTATCTCCGTGGATTATCTCCTCCATTTTCATACATTTTCTGAAGCCCTAAGGCAACTGAATATTAAAATAAAACTAGAGTCTCTTTTGAATCCTTGAAGTAAATTTAAGAATTTAATGAGTCGAAATTTCTCCTGTTGTGGAAGTGGTACTCCAAATCAACGTGTAAACGCTATCATTTTTATTTTGGAAAGAGTAATAGAAACTTGTATCAGCTATTTTTAATGGAATGTAGGTCTTAAAAATCTTATCGCTTTCTTTTGATCTCAAATATTGTTTAATAAAGGTATTATTAATTTGTATTCTTTTGATATTATACTATATACTTACTATTCATTGAGACTCTTGCAATAGTAGTACAAATAAAGAAGATACATTCTCCCATGCTTGTGATTCTTCATTCGGTTTCTGAGAAAAAGTGGTCTAGTACACTGATTCAAACCACAGCTACAAATAACATTAATGTTTATGTATGTTCTTAAATCACAGTTATAGTAAGGCTAAAATTTGACTCTTAGTCACTTTTCTGTTGCTGAATTTTTTAATCTCTTATTACAATGGCCTGCCTAATGTGTTTGATAAACATGAAACATTACAAATGAAGAAATAAATAGGATTAACTGAAGTGCTCTTTTCTTATACTTTAATTACTACTACTGCAACAGCTTGAGCCTATTTTCCTCTGTGGATTGAAGGATTGGAAGTTTGAATAGTACTTCTTTTCCAAATTCTAGTGTAATTCCCCCTAGTCTGAGAAACCAGTATCTCAGGCTTTGTCTTTCACAAGTTTGTGAAACCTACTCAAAAACCTGAATAATCAGGTGTTAGACTGCACTGAGCTACATACTCTTACAGCTACAAAACCCACTGAAAACTCATTGTTGATTCTTCCTCTACCCTTTAACCACTTATTCACCCAAGTGAAGATCTTCTTTCTTAACCTCTGAGAGCTTAACTTCTATGGGAGTCTTTGACACGTGTGATTTTTTTAATTGGCATTTACAAATAAAAGTAGACTTATCAACTGCTTTTTTCTCATTCACCTGCTCAGTGACTTCTTGAAAGATTCCAATAGATTTGTGAAAAAAGTTGAGTTGACTTTTCCTAAATATATAATTATTACTGTGTGAATTTGCTCCACTCTTTAAGTAGTTTCTATTAATTTGACAGGTACAGTTTTCAGCACAGTAGGATTATTATTCTAAGAGAGAGAAACATCATGCATACTTTCATATCACAAAGACAGATTTCCAAGACAGACTTTCATTTAGCCATAACTATTGCACATCTGTTAGCAGCTGGGATCTTGCATAAGTCAGTATATTGCACTTCAGTGTTAGGTGGCTGACTAGAGAACTTCCAAAATGCCGTATTAGTTTACAAAAAGCAATTCTACTGACTGAAGACAGAGTGCAGGAAGTCATTCAGGGTAAGAGAATTCAACAAAAAAAATCTTAGAAAAACCTTACCATAAGCATACATAAATTAATTAGAATCTTTTCTGTATGTTTTATTATCCTATCTTGCTCAGTTACAAGGCACGTAGTTTAATAAAATCAGAGTGGCATCAAAAGGATAGGATTTCTCTGAACTGCAGACTGAAATATATCATGGAAATACTCAAACCTATCTTACAGAGTTAGTTCAGGTGCCACCCTGGGGTGTCAGGGAATTCAGTTAGGCAATTTACCAAATAGAACCCTACCCCTAGTGTAAGATGACTGAAATCATCCATTATAACACTAACTTGGGAATGCTGGGCAGTTTACAATGGAACTATCATGTTTTTTTAATCTAATAACAACATATTAATACTTAATTAAGGTCTTCTGAAACCAAAGATTTGCCCACAGTACAATGTAGGGCACTGCAGAAATACCTGCCACTAACTATGCTATACCTGAAATGGAGGTTATAGGGACTGTTTACACAGCTCAATGTGGGGCAAAGTAGCTGTCCAGCTATTTTGCAAAGGCTGTTGACCTAGTAAATCTGAGCAGAGTGCTCTGTGAATGTAGCTATACTGCTCTCAGGACCTGAGCTATCTCTGCACTGCATAGCACCATGTAAACATCCTTGAGACCCTCCGTTTACTCATGGATCAGGGACGGCAAGCCATGTTAACATCTCAGATCACCTTTCTCATATAGCCTAACGTCCTTCAGAGGAAATATTTCTGTAGGCAAGAAGGCAGACCAAGCCTTTAAAACCAGTATTAGGCTCTCCAACTGCTGAGACTACCAACTGCTCTTTTAAGAAAAGCCAAATTGTGATGTGTACCAGCTGAGGAGCAGCCTAACATTATGGCTAAACTTATTTACTGTTAGCTTGTGCCAAAAAATGTGGGTGTCCCTGTCCATCAGCTCCTGCCCCCATATTTCCAATCTCTTTTGTGTCATGGAATAGCCTAAAAATTTTGACATCCTATCTCTGAATTCCTGCTATAGAAATCAAACTGTGTCTTACAAGTGCAGTATTTACAAATCACAGAATCACCTAGGTTGGAAAAGACCGTGAAGATCATCCAGTCCAACCTAACACTGACAGTTCCCAACTACACCGGATCCCTCAGCGCTATGTCGACTCTCCTCTTAAACAGCTCCAGGGATGGGGACTCCACCACCTCCCTGGGCAGCCCATTCCAACACCTAACAACCCGTTCTGTGAAGAAATGCTTCCTAATATCCAGTTTAAACCTTCCCTGGTGCAAATTGAGGCCATTCCCTCTTGTCCTATCGCTTATTACTTGGTTAAATAGACTCATCCCCAGCTCTCTGCACCCTCCTTTCAGGGAGCTGTAGAGGGCGATGAGGTCTCCCCTCAGCCTCCTCTTCTCCAGACTAAACACCCCCAGTTCCCTCAGCCGCTCCCTGTACGACCTGTGCTCCAGACCCTGCACCAGCTCCGTTGCCCTTCTCTGGACATGCTAGAAGGTCTTGCTCAATCTCTATAATAACAGAGAATCTTCTGGCCATCAAGTCTGTGAAATTGAAGGCTGGCATTGCTTGACAAATATGTGGGGGTTTTTTTGACCAGGTATCACAGTGGCTTCTTTTGCAAAAAAATGCTGCTTCTAATTATGCACTGAAAAAATGATTCTTCTAATTATGCACTCTCAGTCATCTGTTCCCGATTCCCTTCCCGTAACACATCTTTCCAAGGTTAATATCACACCATGATTATATGTAGAGAATTGCATAGGGAAAAGTTGAGAGTATAAACAGGAGACAAAATGCATATTCAGCAAAACAGTAGATTCTTCATTTTTAGAGTGATCTTGTGCTTTTTTTTTTTTTTTCACAGTTTATTATTTGTAGAATAAGGACTTGCTTACTGGGCAGAATCATCAGTAATAGCTCAAAGCAAAAATTACTCTCAAGTTGGGAAAGATAACTGAACAAAGCATTGCACCTTGTCCAAAGCCTGCAAGATGAACATAAAATTTAAAAAAATTACACTATGAACTGAGATTATGGAGTTGGTGATATTCAAATCTAGACAAAGAACTGAATACAAGGTATGTTTTTCCCATAAACCATATTTCTATATTAAAAGTGAAAGGAAGCACAGATCCATTGCTTCATCTAGCCTTGGAGTG